TCTATCTACCTCCCTCCTCCCTCCTCCCCTCATACCCTCTGGTAACCACTAGTCTACTGTCCATGTCCATGAGTCTCTGTTTGTCATGTTTGTTTGTTGCTTTTAGATTTATATCCCATAGGTAAGTGATATCATGTGGTTTTCAGCTTTTCAGTCTGGCTTATTTCTCTTAGCATGATTATCTCAAGATCCATCCATGTTGTCACAAATGGCAGTATTTCATCTCTTCTTATGGCTGAGTAATAGTCCACTGTATATATGTATCACAGCTTCTTTATCCAATCATCTATCATAGGGCACTTCAGTTGCTTCCATGTCCTGGCTACCATGAATAACGCTGCTATGAACATTGGTGTGCAAATATCTTTTCAGATATGGGTTTTTCAAGTGTTTGAGGTAAATACTCAGTAGAGGGATTGCTGGATCATATGGTAGATCAATTCTTAGTTCTTTGAGGAACCTCCATACTGTTTTCCATAGTGGCTGTACCAATTTGCAGTCCCACCAGCAGTGGATGAGGGTTCTTTTTTCTCCGCATCTAACACTTGCTATTACTTGTTCTGTTGATAATAGCCATTCTAATAGGTGTGAGATGTATTTTATTGTGGTTTTGATTTCTTTATTTTTCTTATCTGCATGTGATAATCTCAGGGAGAAAAACATACTTCAGGTCAAAGATCAGGTGAGGTTGTTTGCCAGGCAAATAATAATGACAAACAACCTTGAAAAATAAACGTATGTTAAATTCTCTTGGCAAAGATGAACACAGACCCTGGAGGCAGACTGACATAGCTTGCATCCTGACTTTTCCAGTATTTGTAGTGTGACCTTGGGCAACTCAGTTTGCATTGCCAAGCCTCAGGTTCCTTGCCTTTTAAATGGATATATAAATTCCTACTCTTGAATTGTTGTGGCTACTAAATGAGACTTTAATGCTAAATAATACAGAAAAACACAGATGTTTTATCATTTCAAATTCCCCTTCCTGCACTTTGCAGTTCTGGCTCTTGAATGTCTCTGTTTGCCTCAGATTTCACAATAAAACCAGGATGATTGGAGCTACAAAAGCTGAGTACATAATTTTCACCTCTTGGAATGTCGAGGCCTGTTAGGTTTCAAATACCTTCCCTGAGGGGACACGCAGCCTTTCCTTTCCCAGATAGGCTGCCTCACAAGCCGTGCCCTCTCCACGCCTATGCCATCTCCTCCCTTTCCCAGGGTGCACAGAGCTGGCGATTAGCAAGACTTCGAAGATGGTTGTTGAATAAGTGAACAGTATTGGCCTGAGTGTTAATTCATGTCCCAGTGCTCTGCGACATGGAATGATTTTATGCAACCACCTGGTTAATCACACTAGGACAAACATGAAGAATATGAGTGTCATTTAAGCCTAGCGAGGCTTAGAGGTTGCCATTTCCCATAGATTCTTTGCTGTGGGTTCAGAGGGCACATTATGGGACAGCACAAGAAGTTTCAACCTGAGGTTTGGAGAATTGTTAAAGAAAGATGTAGAGTCAAGAAGGCTGTCTTCTTTAAACTCTAGGTATCACCTTTCAGAGGCAGGCAACAATGACCCCGCTAAGAGACAAGGATGGCCACATATAATATTACTTCTTTACTACCTCCCCACTTTTTCCGGGGTGGCACAACGCTTGACACTGCCAAAGCTGTGTCAGTTTTCATTCCACTACCCATTCATTCACTCAACAAATAATTATTGAGTACCTTTTATGTACCAGGCATTCTTCTAAGTGTTGTGTATACAGTGCCCAACACTTAAAGAAAGGCACTTTAACATCTTTCAATCCAACTATTCAGTCTATATTCAAATAGCATCATTAATTCATTTTTCGTCTCCAAAAATTAATGGAGAACCATTACATACCTTTGATAAAGACCCGTCCCTTCTGGTGAAGACAAGGCAGCCCTTTGTATTCTTGGCTTTTCGGAAATGAGAAAGTCTTGTATTGAGCCCACATATGTCTCTGGTTCTAGTTTACTCCCCTTCCTCCCCTTCACAGGGCCATAGAGAATAGATTTAATCTCTCTCCGTATGCCATCCTTTCAGACTGTGAAATCAGCTCTCTCATCTCCCTGAGGCTTCTTAAAGCCAATATTCCCAAATCTTTGTGCAGCACCACACATGACATGGTCCCTTCTCCATCCTTGTTACAGTCTCCCAATCCCTGTGAATAGGGAACAAAGAGAAAGGAATGGACACCTGCTCTGAAAATGAGACATGAAGACAATACTCTGAAATTTCTGTCAACCACATGAAAGAAAATGCAGAGTCTGAAGATATCTAATATTTATCAAATGCAGAATTTGGAGCAAATAAATTAGCCGGATATTAACTGCAAGGAAAGGGAATAAAAATAGGAACATTTAGACAGGCCTTCGGAAAAACTTCCCAACCATGAGCCTGGACTGTGCCAAACCCCAAACATTTGGAAAATAGCTTGAGATGTCCAGCAGATCCCAAACTTGAGCATTTAGGGTGGTTCGTGCTGTCTTAATTGTCACCGTTTTCACTAGAGTAACTTGACAAGACACTTATTTGCTGAATTTCTTCCAGAGAGAGTGGTGGTTTCTGATTCAACACTATAAGAGCCTTGGCCTTCCTTATTTTGGTCTCATCTTTCTCTTTTTCTTCATGTTGGCCAAAATTCTTCCCAAGAGACCATGATTCCCCTCACTGAAGATTGTTTTCATTATCAGGTGTGATGGGCATATTGAGGAAGTCGATTTATATTCAGTTTGAAGTTTTTCTTTACGAGGAAAAAATGACCATCCCACCTCTTAAGTAACTGGCACTTGTGCTGCAAATATATTAAACATTTCCAGATTAGATTCCAGCAGAGCACAGCCTATCTTTGTGCAGGGATAATGAGCTACAGCTTCTAGACAGGCCTCTGCTTTCTGCCAAAGAATTCTCTTCTTGGTTCAGGTACAAGGGGCCCTATAATGCACAGATAATAAAGGCTTCAGTATCTCAGACACATGCTGAGAGGGCTGGCTGATATACCTGGGTCCTCTAGACTGCCCTGGAGACCACGATGAAGAGACTGTTCTATAGCTCAATCTGATAATACTCACCTTCCAAGAATCGTAAGGCATTGTGTAAAATAAAACAGCCAAACTTCATTTAGTTAAGTCATCTATTCAGGACATTTGGTGTAAGCATACTAGTGGCAGAACACCAAGCCTGAATGCAGCGCTTCCATGTGACACAATCACTATGAAATGAGAAAAGTTCTGGCACTGAGGAATGTCCTTGGGAGATGGCTAGGAGGTCAATGACAGAAGATCAGTCTTTCCTTTTCACAAATGAAAGATTCTTTCTAATCGGAAATAGAACAGCCCCAGATTTGCCAGCATTCATGCGTTTTGCTTACTCATGAAGAATTGAGATTCAAGTAAATGAAAAAATATATTGTCCTTCATTTTACTCGGATTAATAAGCTAACTCCAGTAGAGGATGGGGTTTACAAAAATATCCATTCTCGCTGTCATCCTAATCAAAGTACCCTGATTTTCTTAGAGGCTTAATTGACTCAAATGGAAAACTACATTTTCCAGCATCCCTTGCAACAAGAGCTCACCTTGGGACAGAATTTTGGTCAAGGAGGTAAAAGCAGAAGTCTGCGGAGATTTCTGAGGAAGTTTTCTTTTTTCAAATAAGGGTTACTACTTCTTTCTTCCATATTTCTTCCTTTTTCATCTTCCTGTTTTAAACACAGATGTGGGCCTGGAAGTTTAGCAGTCACCTTGGGACCATGAGAATGAAGGCCATGCACTAAGATGGCAAGCAGGAAGGTGGAAGAGGCCTGAGACATAATGATGTCAAGTAGCACCAGTCCTGGACTGCATTCTTTTGTAAACCTTTATCCCCACCCCCACACAAAAACGCACACTTCTCCATCACAGGAAATGCAACCACTAGGTTTAGGAGTCATCTTCAACTCTTCCCTTTCGGTTACCTCCCCTCTACTCTTCAATATTCAATCTATTATCAAGTCTGTTAATTCTACCAGCACAATGTATCTCAAATTCATCTACTTTTCATCGATGCTGCCACCTCTCTGATGAACTCCTTACCACCTGGAATATTACAAGAGCCTCTTACTGGGTCTCTCCACAAGTGCTTTGCTTCCTGCAATCTATTTCCACACAGCAGCACAAGTACTTTCTTAAAACAAATTACACCACTTGTTACACCCCCACTTAAAACGCTTCACGGCATTCCACTGCCTTGAGCATGCAATCGGAACTGCTCACAATAGCTCTGAGGCTCTGCATGACCTGGACACGTTGTCTCTCCAACGTCATCTCTCACTGTTCCTTCCTCTTCCTCTCAACCACTCATTCTCTACCCCAAATGCTCTTGCCTTCAGTTTAGCTCCATCTCTTCCTTCAGGCCTTACCTTATATGTCAGAAGGATTTTCCTATTCGCCATGTTCTAGACAAAATTCCCCTGCAATTGCTCTCTATCCCAGTTTAGCACTTACACAATTTATAATGATTAAATTGGTTTGCTTACCTATATTTATTTGTTTTGAGACTGTAAGCTCTGCAAAGATAGAACCTTGTGTTCGAGTTCTAGTTATGCCTCAGTCCTTTGGTTCCATGTGTGTGTAGAAGGGGAGGGGCAAGGGCTTTGCTTCCAGGTGAATCTGGAGGTCAAAGCTCTTTCCTCTGTGCATGCTTTGGCTGCATGACTTGCAGTTTTGGTCTGCTATCTCTGAAAAGCAACTCAGTATGTTGTTAAACAGAATAAGATCATTTTGAGCTGGTTCTGCAGTTATACTTGCAATTCACTTAGTTAAAGTTCATCTTCTGTTGATAAAGAACAAATTACCTAGATATTGCTGGAGGGCTGTGTTATTGAATATTTTTAGACTTGTGTCATTTGAATCAATTAAATATCAACTTATATCTGGAACTGATCTCCTTGTTAATTTGTTTATGCTTTCTTTCATTCTTTCAATAAACTCTGCAGTGAATCTACTCTGTACCACACTCTGTGCCAGCACTGGAGAAGCAACCATAAATAAAACACAGTCTCCCCATCATTGGAAGAAGGAAAAGGAGGAAAAGATGAAGAAGATCTTCTATGGACTTTGTATGAATTAACTCAATTAATTCTCACAGCAGCTCTATGATGTAGGTAAATTTCCATCCCCACTTTACAGATAGAATAACCAAGATTAAGTTATTTGCCCCAGGTCACGCCATTGTTAAGTACTTTATGGCTCTAGACTCCATGTGCTTTATCACCGTATTATGTTTCCTCTTTTAAAACACAGTGTTCTATATTTCAAGCTCTAAAAAGCATATAAAATAAACTATGGGAACTAGTGGGAGACACTGAGAGAGGAAGGGTGAGAAGCATTTCACAGAGAAATATTTAAACATATCCTTTGCCTAGTTCCCAAGTTGTAGTCTTCATTTCTCCACATAAACTCACATGAGAGTCCTCTCCTACTTCATAGATGAATAGGAGGGCACAAAATAACCTTGATACAAAATGCTGGCAATTCACCTGGGCAAGAACAACCCAGAGAACTTGGGTCCGATCTCTGTCCTATCCCTTGGGTACACTGGTTATGGATGCTTCTAGGAACTCCAGGGAGAATGGTACAAGGTCTGCCTCTCACTTGTGTTGGTTCCCATAGTTCCCACAAAGGGAACCAATAACCATTGGGTTGGAGTTCGGAGACACAGATTTCCGTTTATGTAGTTCACCATGGAGACATAACCCTCCCCAGCAATAGCCTCACATGTACAGAAAACTTTCAAGCCAGCTTCATACGCAACATTCCTTATAGCAAAGGCAACTATTTGTCCTATGTGCCTTGTTCAAGTCCTAGTTTATGTTTGTTGTGCCAGTATAACATCAATACCTCTGTTTTCATTCTCAAAAGTGTTCCAGTTTAAGTGATAAATTATCCAGTCACATGACTTGGGATGCCTGAGTTAAAATCCTACCTCTGCTACTTAGCTCTATGACCTGGGCAAGTTATCTAATTCCATCTTCTCCAAATTCCTCATTTATAAACTGGAATGCTAACCACAGCACCTACTTCACAGTGTTGACTCCCCTTACCATAAAAGGCCAAGGTCTAAGATCCTCCAATTAAAAGTTGTCCTGCCAGTGCTTCTGCATACCTGTTCTTCTCATACCCTTAAACACCTGTCTAAATCCTGGATCAGGGAGTTCAGGCTTTTGAGCATTAGCTTCCCATTCTTTTGGGTGGCATCATTTATAATAAAATAGCCAATCTCTCTCCACTGCAATTCTCAGCGTTCACTGTTTGGCTCTGCTAGTGCTGGGTGGACAAACTCTTTCTATTCTGTAACACAAGGTCAACTGAATGTCTTCAGGGACTCTGGATCAGTTTTGCAAAAAGAGCTGTGAACCCATGGTCAGCAACAGACCATTTCTGTCCTGCACTAGTGGGATTCTTTGAAAGCCTTCACACCCCTCTTATGAAAGAGGCAGGTAGAATTGTTTTATTCATGTTAAAAACAAAATGACTAGAAATGGCATAAAGCAATACAAATGCTTCTAAAATGAAATCAGTGACATATAAACAGTCATCTGCAATTCATTTGAGAATCCAGAACTCAGGAAGAATCTAGTTTGAGAGAAGGAAAAAGAACAAAAGATATAGCAGGCAGCCCAAGGAAATAAATTTCAGAAATGTTCCAGTACACAGAGGTCAGAAAACCCAGCGGGGACAGGACAGGGCTATGAGGACTGTTCTCAGGAAGTGGCAAAATTAACGTATCTCTTCTTAATTGCTTGTTTTTCTGACATGCAACTCTGTGAATTCCTTGAGGGGTGGGGCTTTGCTTTGGTTTTCTCTACCTGTGCATTTAAACCAGGCACATGGATCTCCCTAAAACCTTGACATGCAATAGAATGACTCGCATATAGTAGGTGCTCAAGAAATACCTGTTGAGAAAATGGATAAGTGATTAACAAACAAAAGAATTAGTGAGTAGCTCATCAGACCAACATAAACTCCTTACCTTGCTCCTGCTGACCTTTAGAGATAAAAAAGTTTTAGAAGTTGGGAAGGGGCAAATGGATATTAGTCAAGACACCTTGATTGAGAGGCACTCCTCCAGGCCATTAGTATATCTTCTTTGGAGAAATATCTATTCAAATACTTTATCCATTCTTAAATTGGGTTATTTGTCATATAAGAGTTACATAATAAGAGTTATATTTATATACTGGCTACAACTCCCTTGTCATATATACAGGACATTGACATTTGCAAGTATTTTCTCCCATTCTGTAGGTTATCTTTTACATTTTCTTGATGATGTCCTTTGGAGCACAAAATTTTCATTTTAATAAGATTCAATTTATTTGCTTTTTTTTTCTTTGTCATTTGTGCTTTTAGTGTCATATCTAACAATTACTTAATCTACGGTCACAATTTACTCCTATGTTTTCTTCTAAGAATTTTATAGTTTTAGCTCTTACCTTTAGGTCTGTGATTCATTTTGAGTTAAGCTTTGTATATGGCATGAAGAAGAGGTCCAACTTCATACTTTCACATATGAATGTCCAGTTCTCCCAGCACCATTTTTTGAAAAGACTATTCTTTCCTTGAATTGTCTTGGTACTCTTTATGTGATGGTTAAATTTTATGTGTCAACTTGGCTCAGCTATGGTGTCCAGTCACTTGTTCAAACACTAGTCTAGATGTTGCTGTGAAAGTATTTTGTAGATGTGATTAACATAAACAATCAGTTGACTTTAAGTTGACAAGATATTATCTTTGATAATGTGAATGGGTCTCATCTAATCAGTCGAGGGCCTTAAGAGCAAAAATGGAGGTTTCCTGGAGAAAAAGGAATTCTGCCTCAAGATTATAACACAAAAATCTTGCCTATATTTCCAACCTATTTATTTAGGTCTTCTTTAATTTCTTTCACCAATGTTTTGTAGTTTTTGGTGTCCAAATCTTATATTGCTTTTATTAAATATATTCCTAAATATTTTATTCATTTTATGCTAATTTAAATGGAATCATTTTCTTACTTTCATTTATGGATTTTTTATTGCTAGCGTTGAGATATACACTGATTTTTGTATATTAATTTTGTATCCTGAAGCTTTCTGAACTCATTTACTACTTCTAATCTTTGTGTGTGTGGTGTGTGTGTGTGTGTGTGTGTGTGCGCGCGCGTGTGTGTGTGTGTGTGTTGTTTAGGATTATCCATATCTATGAATATAGTATTACTTTTTCCCTTCCAATTTGGATGGATTTTATTTCTTTATCTTGCTTAATTGCCTTGACTAGAATTTCCAGTACAAGGTTTAATAAAAGGAGCAATAATATAGATGATACCCTTCTCTTTTTTTCTGACCTTAGGGAAAAAGCTTTTAGTCTTTCACAATTACTATGATATTAGCTGTGGGGTTTTTTTCTTTCTTTCTTTCTTTC